GGATGGAGCAAATTGGGGTTTGGAGAGCAATATAAGAAAATATATATATATATATATATATATATATATATATATATATATATAATGTTTATTATGCTGAACTTCAAATCTGCAATTTGATTTACGATTCATTTGAGTTTTCCAAGTGGTAAGATAATTGTTGATTAGATGCCTGGTTCGATCCTTTTTTTAGTCTTGCAGAAATGATTTATTCAATGCGATATTATTACATTGAATGTACTGCCAAATGTATACTCCTTTGTAATTAACTTCAGTATAGGTATAATTCATTCACTCACAACAAATTAAATATCCTTTAGAGATCATAAAATTCTATCGTTTGCAGTTTTTTTCAGGGGCATTTACAGACATGCCCTACAGTTCTTATGTATTTACATATCTACATCTAAACTTTAATAATTACATTCATAACATTGACTCGGATCTTTAACTTCGCCTCAAAAATACTACTTATATTAACTTTTAAAGAACTCAAATGTATTTTTTTTGTGCATGGCTTTATGACACCAAATTATTATAAATGTAAATTCAAGCCCTCAAATGTTAGATATCTTTGTTAAACCTATTTGAGAACTGTGTGATTTCATTACAAATGGAGGGCAGTTTAATAAATAGCCAAATTTCAAATACTGCAAATGAAATCATTATACTACATTTCACAATCATTCTAAATGTTAAAAGATAATAAGGATTTGTAAGAACTTGGTGCAGCAATGTTGAAAAAGAAAGAAAAAAAAAAAAAAAGGCAGTCTCAAACTTTATGAAATTTATACTTTTGAGCCAAGTTGAATCTGCTGATGCTGGCATCAAAGCCCTTCAGTACAACGGTCCTAACAGCCTCCACTCCTTGCTCGAGTGCAACATCCACCTATATCAACAAAATCATATGACGCACCAAAATTTATCAACAACTTTATTTCTAAATTCAGTTTTTAAACACTCCACAAAACTTAATTTCATAGCAACTCGCCGACTCAATAAATGAAAATGGACATAAATAAAACAAGATATTTGTGAAAGGGGCTAAAAATTGTTTAGAATGATGAAAATCCAACTTTTACCTCAAGAGACAATCCGTACTAATAAAAGAAAGGGGTATTTACATACATAACACCCAATTCCAATTTATTTACATATCTAACACCCCAAACTTTGTCTTTTACATTTAGACCACTCATATCTTTCATATCACATCAAAAATATCACAATTTTAACTTTTAAAATAGTGAAATACACTTTTCATGCATCCATAAGGTGCTATATCATGTAAACAATAAAATTAAGTTGTTGGATATGTAAATGCATGAGAATTCATTGGTATGTATGTAAATCTTCCAATAATAAAATGACAATTTTTCATTACTTTGTCCTTCCTGGGGACCATTTCAACCCATAACGAGAGAATACGAGTACCAATTTGGTACTCATTTCGAAGTAACTCCTTTTTTTTTAGCTGTATAATTCAAACGATAATCTCACTCATGTCATAAGCTTAGTTAATTACTTATGTTGTTTAGTTAATATTTAGATAACCAGAGTACGAGAGAATACGAGTACCAATTTGGTACTCTGAGCTTAAAATGAGCACATATAAATAATCAGCCGACATTTTCACACTACAAATATAAAAATTGATTCAATTTTTTAAGTGAAACGAAACAAAATTAAACACGTTAAGTCAAAATAGTTTTAAGAGAAAACAAGTTATTTATGGCCATCATAGAACTTTATTTAATACCTGAAAATCAATGAACTTAAATTTATTTCGAAGTAACTCCTTTTTTTTAATTGTATAATTCAAACGATCATCTCACTCATGTCATAATCTTATTTAATTGCTTATGTTGTTTAGTTAATATTTAGATAACCAGAGTAAAGTAAAAAATAGAAAATAATTGTAAAACGTATAAACGTGTTCTGACACCAAATACCTGTTCCCGTTCCACCAAACTAAATTTTTGTAGCAGAAAAGCTCGCAAATCCATTTTCCCAGGCGGGTTCCCAACACCTACGAATATTAATGTCCAGGTGGTGACTGGTGAACTGGATAACATACACTTCCAAACATCGAAAATAAAAAAAAAATTAAAAAAAAAATTACATACCAAGCACATAAATCTCATGCAGTTACGTATCTCAGACCTAACTTTCATATTTACATACACAACACTTCAATGCTTTAAAGTTATGCATGAAATTGTATTTGACTTTTAAAAAGTGGTAATAGTACTATTTTTTATTTGATATTAAAGAGTTGTGCATAATGTATGTAAATATGAAAGTTTAGGTGTGAGATATGTAAATACATTATAATTGTGTGCTATGCATGTAAATGCTCTAAAAGCAAATTCAAAATGTGAAAAACCTATGCATAAACGCGGGAAGTCCCGACAACCATCCAAATGACTGATGACACTTTTAACTCTGCAAGAATCAGAAACTCAGCTGTTAAATGACAATTAAAATTATGACATCATATCATCTCATTTTCAAAATGATAAAATTTAGAAATTGATTTTTTATGGCTATCTGGAGATTACACTGGATCATGCTGTCTTGATGGTATGAGAAAATATTTTGCATATGAAAATCAATGGAAGGCTGACTAAATATGCTATCCCAAAGATTTTCCAAAATAACAAGCATTGCTAAAACATGTTTTATATAATTTTAAGAGATCTAATTTTTCATGGGCTTAAGCGCCCATGATACATTACATCTTGAATGAGAGACTCGAGAAAATTCTTGAATTTTGATTCAAGGTATTCATTCATTCGTTTTCTACTTCAGCACAAAGGGAATGTAAGTTATTTTCTATCTAATGAGAGAATATCTAATGAGAGAATGATTCAAAGGGATCAGTAGCATGAAGAGTAGCCATAGATGATCCACAAAAAAAAAAAAAAAAAAAAAATTATTTAAACAATGAAAAGAATATATCTTTACTTTTATTTGAGTCTTGCAATATGTATTTATACCACTTTTCCTATCAATGAAAGTATGTGGCTCTATTCTCTAAAAATCTGACATGGTATCAGAGCTCTAGGGCTAGCCGCCGGCCATCTGCAAGATTCTTCCCTGCAGGATTTATTTCGCCGATCCTTACAGGTTCTTCCTCTTTATGTTCTTCTTACTACCAGATCTTAGCACCAGCCTCCCTCACCACCAACCTTCCTACGGGCCACCAGCGACCAAATCTCAGAGCTGCCACTCGGAGACGACCGCTTGGCTTGCAGACAATTGTTTCCAACCACCGCAAATCCCTTTCGTCGACGGATTTTCCTCCAGTTTCTAGGGGCACTTCCAGCCGCCGATTCTTCCCTTATCAAGCTTACAGGATTTGCCTATATCTCGGCAACCCAACATCACTTTTGGCTTAGTTGAAATCATGGCAAACTTTTCCACCTCCAAGCCTTCTCCCGATGGTGTACTTGAGTCCATTGGAGGGTCAACACCGATCTCAATTCCTTCACAAACAGGAGGACTAGAAAACCAAATGAGCTTCCTAATTGCCACCCATAAACTAAACGGATCTACTTTTCTCCTATGGTCCCAAGCGTATCTTTGCTTGTTAAGGTACGCGAGAAATTTGGCTATATCATGTACATGATTCGTGAACCTCCTAAATTGACCCGACATATAAAACGTGGGAGGTGAAAAATTTTATGTTCATGTCGCAGCTGATTACTTTCAAGGAGCCTACGATTAGACGTTTGTATATGTTTCTCCCTACTACCAGTGCCCTATGGACTTCAGTACAGGATACCTACTCAGATGTAGGGAACTCCAACTAACTTTATGAGGTTCCAAAAAAACCTGTGAGGCAAAAAATGGATAAAAAACAGTGACCTAGTAATATAATGATTTGGTGGCCTTATGGATGGAATGAGATCTTTACTATGATTACACGTGGGAATGTCCGACAAATCTTTCCCTCTTTTAGAAAATTGTAGAAAAAGATTCCATGCTCCATTTTTTGGCTAGTCTGAACAAAGACCTTGATGAAATCTAGAGTTGTATCCTTGGTCGGGATCCCCTTTCACTCTGGTTGAATCATCTACCTTGGCCACTAATAATATTCAATACTCGTCAAACCCTCCTCGAATCATTGGGTCCACTTGTGATTACTTTCACAAACCGGCATACAAACCTTCAATCAAATCCTCCTCTGTCAAGGATCTCACGACAACATCTGAATCTACTACGGTGCAACAGCTCCCACTAGGAACATTCCACAAGCACCTGACTCCCAAGAGTCGGATGGAGCAATTAATCAAACTGCTCGGATCCAATCAATTCACTTTCGACCAGTCAAACACCCACGTCCGTCGAGGTATCACTCCTATGACACTAGCTTCTTTTTTAAGTACATGGATCATTGATTCAAGCGTCACAGATCACATGACTAGAAGCTCTCAAGTTTTCTCAACATATTATCCATACTCTATGAAATATACAATTAAAATTGTTGATGGCACTTGTAACTCTATTACTGGTAAAAAATCGGTTGTGTTAATAACCTGTCTAGTCCAAATGACTGATGACACTTTTAACTTTGCAAGAATCAGAAACTCAGCTGTTAAATGACAATTAAAATTATGACAACATATCATCTCATTTTCACAATGATAAAATTTTAAAATTAATTTTTATGACCATTTTCATGTTAGCATGGAGATTACACTGGATCATACTGTCTTGATGGTGTGAGAAAATATTGTTGCATCTTCTAAAGAGTATGAAAATCAATGGGAGGCTGACAAAATATGTTATCCCAAAGATTTTCCAAAATAACAAGCATTGCTAAAACATGTTTTATATAATTTTAAGAGATCTAATTTTTCAAGGGCTTAAGTGCCCATGATACATTACATCTTGAATGAGAGACTCGAGAAAATTCTTGAATTTTGATTCAAGGTATTCATTCATTCGTTTTCTACTTCAGCACAAAGGGAATGTAAGTTATTTTCTATCTAATGAGAGAATGATTCCATGAAGAGTAGCCACTGATGATCCTCAACAAAAAAAAAAAAGATTATTTCACTAATGATAAGGAAAAAAAAGTGGTTCTGCAAGGCCAAAATGCCACATGATTGAAAAAGTAACTTGATATCAAACCTTAAATGCAAGGGATAAGAGATATTTGAAAAGCAAGTGGACCAATATTTTCTCGACTAACTAGGAAAAATGCTTAAGGAATAAGAGAGGCTATTAGAATTATTAGCGTAATTATTAGGTTAAATACTGCTACAATTATTATCAGCTTTTATTTGTTTCATTTATTTTTCGTTTCCATATTTATGTATTTTCTAGTTGGTTTATTTTTGTTTTTATATCTTTACTTTTATTTGAGTCTTGCAATATGTATTTATATCACTTTTCCTATCAATGAAAGTATGTGGCTCTATTCTCTAAAAATCTGACATGGTATCAGAGCTCTAGGGCTAGCCGCCGGCCATCTGCAAGATTCTTCCCTGCAGGATTTATTTCGCCGATCCTTACAGGTTCTTCCTCTTTATGTTCTTCTTACTACCAGATCTTAGCACCAGCCTCCCTCACCGCCAACCTTCCTACGGGCCACCAGCGACCAAATCTCAGAGCTGCCACTCGGAGACGACCGCTTGGCTTGCAGGCAAATATTTTCCGTCGACGGATTTTCCTCCAGTTTCTAGGGGCACTTCCAGCCGCCGATTCTTCCCTTATCAAGCTTACAGGATTTGCCTATATCTCGGCAACCCAACATCACTTTTGGCTTAGTTGAAATCATGGCAAACTTTTCCACCTCCAAGCCTTCTCCCGATGGTGTACTTGAGTCCATTGGAGGGTCAACACCGATCTCAATTCCTTCACAAACAGGAGGACTAGAAAACCAAATGAGCTTCCTAATTACCACCCATAAACTAAACGGATCTACTTTTCTCCTATGGTCCCAAGCGTATCTTTGCTCGTTAAGGTACGCGAGAAATTTGGCTATATCATGTACATGATTCGTGAACCTCCTAAATTGACCCGACATATAAAACGTGGGAAGTGAAAAATTTTATGTTCATGTCGCAGCTGATTACTTTCAAGGAGCCTACGATTAGACGTTTGTATATGTTTCTCCCTACTACCAGTGCCCTATGGACTTCAGTACAGGATACCTACTCAGATGTAGGGAACTCTAACCAACTTTATGAGGTTCCAAAAAAACCTGTGAGGCAAAAAATGGATAAAAAACAGTGACCTAGTAATACAATGATTTGGTGGCCTTATGGATGGAATGAGATCTCTACTATGATTACACGTGGGAATATCCGATAAATCTTTCCCTCTTTTAGAAAATTGTAGAAAAAGATTGCATGCTCCATTTTTTGGCTAGTCTGAACAAAGACCTTGATGAAATCTAGAGTTGTATCCTTGGTCGGGATCCCCTTTCACTCTGGTTGAATCATCTACCTTGGCCACTAATAATATTCAATACTCGTCAAACCCTCCTCGAATCATTGGGTCCACTTGTGATTACTTTCACAAACCGGCATACAAACCTTCAATCAAATCCTCCTCTGTCAAGGATCTCACGACAACATCTGAATCTACTACGGTGCAACAGCTCCCACTAGGAACATTCCACAAGCACCTGACTCCCAAGAGTCGGATGGAGCAATTAATCAAACTGCTCGGATCCAATCAATTCACTTTCGACCAGTCAAACACCCACGTCCGTCGAGGTATCACTCCTATGACACTAGCTTCTTTTTTAAGTACATGGATCATTGATTCAAGCGTCACAGATCACATGACTAGAAGCTCTCAAGTTTTCTCAACATATTATCCATACTCTATGAAATATACAATTAAAATTGTTGATGGCACTTGTAACTCTATTACTGGTAAAAAATCGGTTGTGTTAATAACCTGTCTAATTCTGGAATTTGTATTACACATCCCTCGGTTGAAATGCAACTTATTATTTGTTAGTAAGCTGACACATAATATCGATTGTGTTGCTAATAAAAATTTTGCTAACTTCAAATGTGAGATTTGTCAACTAGCTAAACTTCATTGCATTCCTTATCAATCTCACCTTTACACGCCTTCCGCTCTTTGTTCTCTTATTCACAGTGTCTTATGGGGACTCTCTCATACTCCCAACTACACTAAGAAACAGTGGTTTCTTACCTTAATTGATGATCAAACTCGAATAACGTGAGTTTATATTATGAAATATAGATATGAAGAAGTTGTCACCTTAAAAAACTTTCACTCCTTTATTTTAACCCAAGTAAAAGCTTTAATTCAAGTCATGTTAACCGACAATGACCATGAATTCTCTAGTTCTATTTTAGATGAGTTATTGGTAAGTAAGGACATCATCCATCATAGCTCATGTACAACACTCAACAAAATGGAGTAACTGAGAAAAAAATTGACATCTTCTCGAA